CCGGCATCCGCCCCTTCCCTGTCGCTGCGTCCCAGTCCACTCCAAACCTTTACGCATTCCCCTGCCCGAGTGTCGTATGAATCTTTCCCCGTATTCTTAGAATTCGTACGTGCCATCGTTCCGCGGGGGTCGTGCGTATATTATCTGTATCATTCCAATTTTAACAGATGTCCCGAAGGACTCCCAGTTCTTCCGCCTACCCTTGGCCCAGTTCTTCGCCCAGGTTCGTCCCCGACCCCCACCATCTCCTCCGCGACTTCCCCTTTTTGTATTCCATTGATCTTTCCTATAAAGATCCGATTCTCTCGGGGTACCGGAGAGCTTTGCCGCGTCAGCACTTCCGGGCCTTCACGCGTCCTCCCTCCACCCCTCTCTATGACTTTCCTCGCCTGGACCTAGCCCCTTTTGGAGGCCGGATTCATACAACCGCGCCCACCTCACGTCACTACTTGGCCATAGGCCCCGGGGGCAACCCTACGAACCCGGACAATCCTCCTTTTACCCGCACCCGGCCCGTTTTACGGCCTGGTTCATTCCCTGTTTATGGGTGTTACCCCCTCCCCCCCTTTACGCAGCTACCTTACGGATCCATCAATCCGATTTTTAGAAGACGCACCGAAGGGCTTCCGTCATGGTAACCACTCCGTAGCACCTCCAAAGGCCACAGGCCCTCTCCATTTTCTCCTTTGCATGCCCTTATCCTGTATTACGTCCGGGTTCATCCTCGGACTTTCGAGGCGTTCCTTGCACTGTCATTGCGCAAAACTTCCCCGAGGGATCTCCGCTAGCAACAACCCCCGACATCCCGGCACTTGCCCATCTCGCTGGCATCACACGCGAATCCGGCCTCCCTCCCTCGTTCGCGCATGTACCCGGTCAGGTTCCCGTCCGGGATCATCTTTGGACTCTTTCGTGCCATCTCGGTTGTACCTAAGGGCCTGCCCCCGATTACCACCCACCCCCATGCGCGGGTGTCAAAGCGGCAGTACGGACCAAGACAAAAATTCCGCCAACGGAGGGAATACTACCCAAATTTTCCGCCGTGCACGGACCCCCCCCCGGCGCTCCCTTGATCCTGCAATGCGGGCCCGCAGTCGGCTCCCTCCGCAAAAAGGGGGATAGTCCCATGGGACCCTCGACCCCTTTTGCTCCTTGCCGCTCTGTCGCTCCCGTACCGCCGTCCGCCGGTCTCAAACCTCGTACCTCTGCTGAAACAATCCAACGTCGTAACCGATAGGGCTAAGCCCAAGCCTGTGACTGGCAGGCGCGGCTCCCCATATAAAGTGGTGTCGTGCGGCGTTCCGGCCAAGAGACCGCCCTGGTTACTTTTTCGGCCCACAATTGCACCCACGGACCCTAGGTGTCCGCATCGGTCTACCACCCCGCGCCATGGCCGTCCCATGCGCCTACCGGCGCGCCAGCCCTACCCTCGGTCACGCGCACCTATCAAAAATAAACTTTCATTCCCTAACCAGGGCCGTAACACGGTCTGGGTCGGTCGGCTACCCTAGCCGCCTACTCAATTAGGAAAAATCACATGCGTGCCTTAAATATTGCGCGCCCACCTACTCCCTACTGGGACAGGACAGACCCTTGCCTACGTGCGGGCGACCTTCGCATTTTCCCGGCCGGGCACTCAAGATCCAGGTTAACCAAGCCTTTCTGTCACTTGCAAAAATCAGGGCAGATACCCTTGTTAGGATATTCGCGCCGACAGCTTACCGGACCATATTAAGCGACGTCCCCGTCGCGTCGCCAGATCAAAAAGCTATAGATTTCCATTACATTCCAAATGCTGATGAGATCAGAACCAATCCGATTAGCCGACAGACTCAGGGTCGAGGCCTCCATCAATTCGTGCCACACAACTATATGCTGTCAGGGTTTCAACCTGGGTCTCCATTGTCCTGATATCACGCGTCAATACTACAGCATAAGTTCCAAAGCCCCCAAACCATCCTCTTCCCCTTTGTCGTAGACAACCGCCGACCTCTCGTTGGGTGTCCCAGTTAGCCTCTTCCTCATAAGCAGAGCCATAACTAGGGACGCAGGCTTCGAATGGGGCCTATGAAGGCACTCTCTGCCTTCTTCAACAAGTTCCTCACAGTCAAACAAAACATACATGTATAAGCTTATAGCCTCTCTTGGGCTTTTCTGCAGCCTAGTACAGAAATGTCAGGTCCCCATCTGGGCCCACCGTAGCCTGGTTGATCGGGCCAGGTCTACGGCCCACCACATTGTTACCTTAGCGGCAGTATCCTCCCATTGGTTATACAATTGCAGGTATATCCCTGATAACCAATCAATCAGGGATCCCAAAAGACTCGACTCTTATCCCGCAAGGTAATTTCCTTGGGGCGGGTAACTCCCCTTAAACTCTTGCCTTGCGGGCCCGCAACCAGGTTGTGTCGGCTAGCAGCCATCCACAAGGGGTTGCGCCCAGGTGGCACTAAGCTTTACCGTTAGCTTGGTATTCCTTTAAACATGTCTCAGAATCAGCACAGGTGGCCAGGCGGGGCGTTACAAACGATTCACGGCCGCTGCGGGACTACGCAGGGGTCCAAAGGCATTTACCGACCCTCCTGTAATAGGCACGGCATCCTTTACTCAGTCACAAACAATCTCCCCGCCGGGTCCACGAGGCCGCGGCTCCTGACTTGATCAGACCCAGCAGTCGCCCACCCTGAGGCATCTCTCGCCCTCCTCACACATTTCAAGCAAGCATGGTCTCCTCTCGTCAGACTTTATCAGCACAGACAATGCTTTCCACATCATTCTTTTTTTGCCCACCCTTACTGGGTGAAGGGTGCCTTCCATAAAAGACTTCCTGGCCACCCCTTTTGTATGGGATGGCTCCTCACACGACCTCTTCCAAAACCATGAAGGGGTCTCCACGCAATATAACTCCCACCTCCCAGAATTATGAAGGGGGCCTTAATCATCAAACAACTCAAACTGAGGGACCACCTTCTGGGTCCCTGTACAGCTTATGCAACGGTGTTTTAGTACGACCAAGCATGCAAATTCCTAAATCCATCAATCCCGTAGGATCCTCACAATTTTTCACAAACGGGCTGCACTTTCCCTCCTTATACCCTGCCCTCTCGTCCGCTTGTAGCAGACCGCACGAGTATACCAGAGGGTAGACAGCTCTACAATTTACACAATCATGCCCATGAGATGCATCCTGTGCATCTCTCACTCAAAGCCAAACATTCATCGAGATAAATCCACACATGTGAGAGCGATAGTGATCGTCACAAAACAAGTCCCATAGGATCTCAACTCATAGTACACTCACGGAGTAGAATGCCTCCCCCAACAATCGAATACAAACACCCAACTCCATACTCCGCCCGTCTGAATGGGACTCATAACCCCACTGTATACTCATCAAGTACACTCGGGAGCATAGCACCTGCCTAATCATCCATAGAATATTCTAGCCCCTGTCCTCCCCTGCAGGGAGAACTCACACCCTGAGTGCTACGAACTCCCAAATCCCATTCAGAGCAGCAAGCTTCTGAATCCCAAAACCAAATGTAACTAAGTAGTCTCATACATCACACGGTCGAGCCCTACCCCTGGGTCATAGCCCACGAAGACTCTCAAGAGGAGGCAAGTGAGCGAAAGTCGAACGCATATGTACAAACGGATAGGAGCTCATCTCACCACCCCTACGCACACACACACCTAGGGCCCGCTCAACTGACTCAAGGTATGTACACCTCTAACCCTGCCCTGTGTGTGTCAAAGATCTCTAGTCCTATCAATACATAGACAGACCGATCCCTACTGACACAATTCCTCCTGGTTCTGTCTGTATAACTGGGCCCTGGCCCCATCTGGAGCTCGCTCCACTATCCTGCCCTGTCTGTCATAGAATTTGTCGTCGACCTCCACGACTCACCCTTCGGCCTTATCCTCAAGGAACTCTGGACAGTTCACGGCTCTATGTCCCGCCACCTTGCACCAAAAACAAGAGGTATCATGCCACCTAGCAGTCTTCTTCTTTCCCCCCTGCGAACTCGATGTCGAAGATATCCCTATGGTCTCAGTAGCCACCTCATGACACGAGGGCAACCCCACATGGCCCTGCAGTCCTGACCCCATAGCCTCAGCACCCTCACCCCCTCGTGCAGCCGCACTCCCTGGCCCGCGCTCTGGCGTGTCCAACTCCCGGGGCCCCTCCTCATGAGCGCTCTCTGTCATCGCCGCCTCATCCCTGCATACTCCTATCGGCTGAGAGCCCCTCATAGCGGCGGGCTCACTCATGACCTCCTGCCGCTATTGCCGTCGCGAGTCAAGCACTCCTGAGTCTGTCCCCGTGGCCCAGGAGCCCAGCTCCGCCCTCAACTCTCCCCACCTCGGGGCATGCTCTGGAGCGTCAAGTCCCTGAGGCCCCTCTTGTGGAGTGCCTATCCCCATGGCTGCCGCCAACTCATGCAAGCGCGAACCCCTCCTCTCCGTGGACATAGCCATAAGCGACTCCTGCGCGCCACTCTCCTTCTCGACTGCGTCCAAGGGCGCCTCCTCCATCGGCTCGGCCTGACGAGGGACTTCCACTGCTACTCCCTGACTCGACGACGCCTGCATCCCACAGCCCTGGATGTCAGCACCGACCGGCCCTGTCCTACTAGCCTCCCAGGCTGCTGAGAGCCTATCCATAGCGGTCGCCATCTCCCCAAATCTCCTCTCCCACTCAACCTCTCTGGCCTGGCTCCTCACCCTCTCCTCGGCAAGCTAAGCAATCAGTTGCTCTACCTCCAACTCATTAACCCTGAGCTCATTGCTGAGTAAATTATACCATTGGAAAGATGTGACTGCCGTATCGCATACACTCCGATCCATGCGCTCAATCGCCATCCTGGTCGCAGAGAATCCCATGTCTCCCATGTCCCTCAACTCACTCGTCCCCTCGCCTGTCGGTCCTGCCTCTCGTGGCCTCTGGCGGGCCGCATCCCTCTGACTCTCATACTTAGCCAACAACTCGTCAATCCTCTGCTCGCTCGTCGTGGGCTCGACTGGCGGTGTCGGCTCTATCCCTGCCGCCTCCATCTCAGCTTGCTTCGCATGTATCTCGTCCAGACGGACTCGCAACCGGGCGGACTTCTCCTCGCGGGTCTCCCTCGGGGTCCCTCTCACTCGCGGCCCCTGGCCCTCTGGAGCCATCGCCTCGGCCCTCATCCCTTCGCTCGCGCATGGCACTACTGGCGGTAACTCCGCTGGAACGGGTTCCTCGATGACCGGACTCCTAGTCACGTGCGTGGACGATGGCAGGTCAGGGGGCGCCTCCATCCCCTCTATCTCACACACTCCCTGATCCTCCGCCTCTGCCTCCTGCTCAGGCATGACGGTGGCCGCAGGGGACTCCGGAATCTCCTCGCTGCCCGGCTCAGGAATCCCCTCTGGCCATGAACGCTGAGCTGGCCCTGGAACTGGGGAACATGGAGGGGTATCATCTTCGACCGTGATCACCTCTCCAACCTAGGGTCGTACCGGATCCGGCCGCTCGACTGCCATCTCAAGATCCTGTGGCTCCTCTCGGCCTCGCGTGTCTGTCTCCATCTCGGGGTCGTGGGGCTCCTCCAATGGCACGTAGCACGCTGGCTCAACTGAGCCCTCTCCCAGCCGTGAGGCCTCCCATTGGGATACATCAAGATGAGTCGTTAAACTTCGGAATGGCGTCTCTCTTGGTATGTCCAGATCCTGCATTGATGGCAGTGGCGAGGGCGGCCTCAACTCCTCACTCGTAATCCACCAAAACTCAACCGCCCGGAGGCCACAGGCAGGGAACGACTCTTCTGCCAGTGCGGGCCCTGCGGGCTCATCCTCCCGCTGCGCTGGGGCTCCCCTCCTCTCTCTGGCCAACCCCGTCTCTCTCGGTGCCGGTTCCCTTGGCTTCTTGCTTCGCCGTCGTTTCTCAACCCTGGGCTCGTGCCTCTCGTGCTGTGGCCGTCCGAACGCCCTACTGAGCTGGGCCTGACAGTCCTCCCAGTCTCGAGCCCTCTCCTGAATCTGCTTGGCCACCTGCTTCTCTGCCTGCCTTGTCCAGATATGTAGGGCCTGGACCCATTCCTCCTGTGCAACCCCCAGACTCAACGTGTAGTGCTCATATGCGGGGATGAACTCATCTGTGTTCCCCTCCTCCAATCGAATGGGCATGCCGTCACGCCCCGTAGGGGAAACTCTCAACCTCTGCATCCCGGCCTCCACGTCTGGCCAAGTCAGGGCCTCCTCACATATCTGAGCGACGGGCTCCTCGAACCGCCCTATACCCCTCAAGTGGTGAATCCTCTCCACCATTGACCACCCTCTCTGTGCCGCATGGTCCCGATATACGTCCAAGAAAAGCTCAATGTTGTCGTCATCGAACTCAGGCGTAGGCTCCCTCCTAGGCGGCTCATGCCGCTTGCCCCTTCCCTCCATCCTCTGGGGCCCCTGGCGTGACCGTGTGTCCCTCCCGCCCCTCTGCATGACTGCCTTCGAAAAGTCAGACCTGCACAACAGGCAAGAGACAACAGACAGACACACAGCAGGGTAAGCAACTGGGCCATTAGCCTAGGGGAATCCCACATACTCATCACACCCATCCACCCCAATCATCCACCTATCCAAGCACCTGACCTGGGTAACGTCTAGGAAAGACTTTATTCCTAACGAGGTCTCATGGCCCCTTACCTATTCCCTAGCCACGAACTTCTTCAGCCTTGTCCCTGATACCCAGTCCTGCCATCCTGCCCCGTCCAGCTCCTCAATTTGGTAGGCCCCAAACTTGCCACACCGCACGATCCGATAGGGTCCCAGCCACCGCTTGTCAAGTTTCCTGGACCACTGCTTCTCCAGCGAGGAATCGTACAGCAGCACCACGTCTCCAACCTTCAGTGGCTCCTTCCTTATTCGGGCCATCTGGTCCCACCTCATCTTATCTTCCATGCGAATTCTCTCCACCTGACCAACGGCCTCCCGTAGCCTGTCTTCAACGGCCCCCACTTGTCGCGCCCGTATGTCGAGCAGTTCTTCAGAGGATGGGTTCACTTCCAGGTCCTGGCGCCTCCACGTCTTCATAAAACTTTCTATGGGGAAGGTGGCATGCCGTCCATACCATAGAGTGGCCGGCGCATACTTGGTAGTCCTTTTCACTGTAACATTTTCCACGAAGAAAGTTGCTCTCAGGAACTTCGACCATTGGTTAGGCTTCCCCTCCGTCCATTTAGCCAGGAGATTCGTGATGGTGTTGTGCCCCCTCTCCACAGGTGCGTTCGCATGGGGGTGCGCGACAGTAGTATAGTTTGCTACCACGCCGTACCCCGCGAGCAAGGTCCGCACCTCGCTTTTTCAATTTTTCCCACTCGAGCGCACTTTTGGCCACGTGGCGGGCAGGTAGTGTCGGGAGGATCGGCAACACCGGAGCTGTTTGTGTGATTGTTTTGAGCCCTGCCACGTGGGTATTGCGATTTGACCTTTTTCAACTTTTCTCACTCAAGCACGTTTTCGATTCATCAGGTTCTCATACCCTCTTGCTATAAACATAGGTTTCCACCACGTGGCAAGGCAGGAGGTGCAGTGGGGTTAGGCACCAGGGTTGCGTATGTGATTGATGCCTTTCCTGACACGTGGGTATTTCGTTTTGAATTTTCTGCAATAGAGCCTTCCCCACTTGTATGGTTAGTGGCTAATTAGGATCATGGGGGGAAGCTCATCGTAACTATCAATAAACTACTATAATGGCTTGCCCTGTTATTAATCTCTTTGCCTTATTTGTATCTCCCCTACTCCTCACTGTGCAGAAGATTGTAGTGGATAATTGAGGAGTCGAGTAGGGCAGAGTTTGATTCACTACACATCGGGGTTAATCCTTACTGGGGAAGCAATCAATGCCCCAAGATTTTACTATATTCGTGTTATGCAGGGAAGCTGTCGCCAGGGGAGCAGTGGCTGAGGCTCTTCCAGCCCTAATGGGAAGAGGCGTGGGGTTAAGTGTTGTAATCAAACTCATAATTGGAGCCTTGGGCACTGGGCCCTTCTAAAAAAAAAAAAAAACGAAAAAAAAAAAAAGAGCACCCCCCCCCTAGCAAGAGAACGGGTGCTCCGGTCTATTGGTGGGGAGCAGCACCTGCTGGAAAGCGGGTCCAAGCTCCAATCTATTCGTGGGGAGCAGCACGTGCTGGGAACCGGGCCCAGCGTCCCATATAGAAAATTACATAGGATTTTGAAAAAAATTGAGAGTTCGCAGTACCGGGGCCACTACCCGGCTTTGGCTAAGAGCTAGATCAAGAGATACAAGCAAGCTACCGAAAATAGGCAAAAAGTCAGGAAAAGACTCAGACTCCCCTCCATCCTCTTTACCTCACTCCGGCAAGTCTTGCTGCAACAGAGCCACCATCTCTGCTGCTGCTGTACCCTATTACCATCCTACCAGCTGGCCCCCTCACTAGTAGGACGCTTGATATCCAACCTTCTTCTCCCACTCTCGTTCGGCAGTGATGGCCTTCACACATCGTTGGTAGGTAAGGCGCTGGCATCTGGTACAAAACATCATGTCGGGAGATCCCCAAAAAGCAACTCTCACTTCTGTGGGCAGCGCTGTCAGCCTGACTATTTGTGGAGAAACGATCATAAGTTGACCGGATGTTTAAAGAGGGTGGCATGGAAATACGTGGCCCAGCCAAAGAAAGTGGGAGGGCTGGTTATCCTGGACCCGGGACTTTATCGTCAAAGTCTCATCCAACCGTTGCTTGCGAATGACGTTCCATGGCTGCAGCTGGCTTACGTACAGCTATCAAGCCTGGCCCCTCCCTCCCACCCGCATACCCCGGTTCAACCTCTAACATGGTTGACAAATACTGCCTGATCAGTGCCGGCCCCCCCGCACCGCAGGAGGGATGGCACAACCCGCAACAGGGTACGATGGGACCTCAAACATGACGGTCACCGACTGTGGACCACGGTGCTGTCACCCACTGTGGACCACGGTGCTGCACCTGTGGAGGCAGATGGGGCCAACCAAGAAGTGCCCCCCACTAAGACGGCAAGAGATATAATGGAGGCAACCGCTGTTCGGGGACCCGGACATATGTGATGAAACTGGGGAGCCGCTGTCCTTAGCAGCCATTTCCCACTGGCTCACATGGGTGAAGAACGGCGTCTTTGTGGTGGGAGACCTCTAGGACAGCCACAGTGGTATGTGGAAGTCTGCCCAGTAGCTGCAACCGAAAATGAAATACATAAGGAGAAGCCAGGAAAAACTGGACCCCATCCGTCGTGCACTCCCGCTGCAGTGGGGGGCTGCATGCACTGCAGGAGGGACCGAAGATTCAAACCCAAGACAAGGTCATCCAAAGTTGCCCTAAACCTGTCCCCATGACTGAATTTAGGGTGGGCCACACCACCGTACAAGGGGTGCAGCTACAGGCATACAAACCGAATGTACCAAGGTTGAGCTGGGCCACCCTAAAGAGGGATCCAAACTCCATTTGTGTGCCCCCAGTGGAAGGACTGTCCAGAGTGAGGGTGGCGGGTACAGAGGACACTGTTTACTTCGACTACGAAATGCCTACCACGTCGTGCGCGCACCCATTTGACCCACAAGAATGGGGGAGTGGAAAGGCCGAGAACCCATACCAGTCTGGCAGTACTTGTGCGAGAAGGGTACAAGCTGTGTAGCATTGTGTTTGCATTCAGAGGCGAAAACAAACATGTTTGCCCGAACACGAACGAGCGCCCAAAACCCTCCGAACGCAAACATTATCAAAATTAAAAAAGGAAAAAAAACTCAGAAAAATCTGAAAACTATAGATCTCATGTAAAACAACAATCCAAGCAACTTTTGCCTTGGAGTCATGTTCAAATTCTTAGTCAAACGTGAGTTAAAAATCATGAAAAAAACAATTATGCTTGCTCGAACACGTTCGCGAGCCGTTCGCGCGGACGAGGAAGGGGTGCGAACACGTTCGCCGTGCTACGCAGGGTACAAGCAGGCGCATACGACCCATGAGTCCAAGAGGTGGTACAGTCTAGGTGGAAAAGGGACTCAGCACTGACAGAGCAAGTCCTGCACTGTATCCCTTGGTCCACTTATGCACACATAATATAATGCCCACATCTCACAAGGCTCTGAACTCGCAGATTGTGCATCGCTGTCTCCCAGCACCCGACTGGATAACCTCGCGCACTAATCTACAAAAAACAGGGGCACTATTGCCAATCTGCTCCCACTGTGGAAATGGGGTACCGTGTTCAACTTGACAGATTGATCTGGAACACTGCCTACTGGCCTGCCCAATGGCACTGCAAATATGGCAATGGTGGGACGCAAACACTGCCTGCTGGCCTGCCCAATGGCACTGCAAATATGGCAATGGTGGGACGTGATGTGGCATGAACTCACTGCCCCACCATTCCAATGGAATACCATGCTTATCTTGCTGGGCAAGCGCAAAAACTTCCCAGCGGCTTGGTTGCCCTTCCAGGCTAAACTCTTTCAACATATGAGGTTAGCCCTCCTCATGGCCATATGGAGAGTGAGGTGCTCAGCGGAACACAAGATGCGGCCTTTGACTTCACTGAGCCAAAGTCAAACTACTGGAGGTCATCTGAGCGAACATACTGACAGCCAGCAGGAAGCTGTTGGAAGTGGTAGTTGTGACCCTTCACCGGGAGGGCAGGCAGATAGCAATCTCAGACTTTACGCAAACACGGATAGAGGCAGACCACAAAATCGAGGATTCCGAAGTGGATGGAAACTGTGCACGGGACTATCAGTGGGTATACAGACAGACCGAGTTTGACCGACTGCTTCCCCGCACCTATCCCAGGACAGACTAACGGGCCAATGGATGAGGTGCAACTGGACTCCAGAGGACACGAGCAACCCCCTGAAGTCAGACCCCCCCTACCGCCTTACCCCCCCTCCCTCCCCGCCCCCTCACTGCCCCTCCAGATCCCCGCGGGTCCCCCACCATCCACACCCCCCCTGCCAACCCCGCTCCCAGCCGGCTCTCCGCCTTTCACGGCGTCTCCCCCTCCTCCCCCAACCGCCTCCTCTCCCGCTCTCCCCACCCTGCCCCGCCACTCCCCCACCTGGGACCCTGCCCAGCCAGCGGCCAGCAGGCTCAAGTGTAACGAACACCAGCAACACTCGTCAACAACAACAACAACTCAGCAACTCAACAACAGTAACTTTGTAGCCAGTCACCAACAAAGCAGCGTCCCCAGGAGGAGTGAAACGAAGGTGGAACCCCCCAGAACAGGGGCTGGGGATTCTCAATGAAGCTGCCCTGCAGATGCAGCAAAAGAGCGGGACTGCTTAGGACTGTAGTTTGTTGGGAAATAAACAGGTAGCACAAGTAGCACATGCTCTGAGGGAGCTCCAATGTATCATCAAATCTATGTACTGATTGGGACGCTGGACCCAGTCTCCAGCAGGTGATGCTCCCCACCAATATGGATCCTTCATGGATGGGCCTGCTTGAGGTAGATCCTCTTATCACTACCTCAAGCGGCACCCTCCACCAAAGTTTCGAGGGGAAAAAATAAGAAAAAAAGAGGTGACAGTCTTGAGACATATCCACAGGTGACCAGCCCCAGGTAATTCAAGCTCATTATTATCGATATCGTTGATGCGCAAAAAAAAAAAGAAAAAA